TTTCTCAACTCACACTCATAGTTCAGTCCTTGAGTGCACTCATACAAAGCTACCCTGTATAGTCGACTGTATTTGACACACACATCAGGATCCATTCCTTTCCCTGCATACTCCTGTAGCTCCATAAAGAAGGCGTGGCTTTGACTAACGAGTTTCCGTACAGAATCAGTCGTTAGTACAATACCAGACCACTGGACCTCATACAGGTCAGTACTAGTGGCAGTCTCCTTGTCACTGTTGCTATAGTTATCATCGTCGTCGTCATCATAAGGAGCAGTGAATATTGCTATTGAGTTTCTTGGATTAGTACGAAGTAAAACACGACCACGAGTGTGCTAAGGAAAACAACATAAATTATTTATTATCATTTAAATTAAATTAATACATATATAAATCACATAATTACTCTTGTTATAATCTTAACATTATTATCATTATTTAAAATTATTTCTTTACCACTTCACTCATTGTCAGTGAACTGGTTGCCTCCTCTTCCTCTTCGTCTCCATTATACCCACTACCAGCACCAACTCTACTAGCACTGCTTCTTTCTTCATCATGTTCATCGTACTCAACATCCGCCATTTCCTTAAAACGTGAAAGCCACACCTAAGGGCGTATCTATTATCTGGATGCATCATCATGGCATCATTGACCAATCAAATTGCTTTAGCTTCTGACGACGCGCTGATCCGACGCGTACGCGAACGCACGCCGAGATTCATGCTGTTGTTCCCGGTCCGGTCCCAAAGGCTACGATGGCGAGTCTTCTTCAATCATCATCATCATTTGCTGAAGTTTCTGAAAGAGATTTAGGTCAGTTTTATAGTAATAGATCTGCCTATGGTCAGTTTATTGCGGTTTTTTTACTCATTTTTACTGTGGTGTGTGGAATCATAGATATTAGCAGGGGTTGAGACGCTAATCTGAACGTGGGGGTCATTTTCATTAATTCAATTATGTTTAAAATAATCCAAAAATAATATGGTGCGTTCATCAGTTATGCTTATGTATATGTACATGT